ATTTCTATCCCTTGTAAACAGATAAGTTGTTATTCCCTTGATACAGAAATCGATAAACGGCGTCCGAGAATAGCGATCAAATGCTGATGAACGATAGCACTCTGCAGCGATTATTTGTAGGTAGATTGATGAATCTGTTCCCGCGGACGCTCATACCCCACGATTCCTCTCCCCGCTCGCTCGAAAATGGTGTTCTTCAATCTTCGTTGCCCGGGCGATAAGGACCCAGATCCTACGGTACAAAGATTTTCATGCTGACGCGCCATTCCTAGCGCCTAATTAATGAGTTTGAATTTTTCCGGCGGCTAATGGAAAGACTGCCTGCGCAGCACGTAGTCAAAGGAACCGGCACAGTATGAAAGATGAAAAAGCGGCATCAAGGAATAGAGGTTAATACGCGAAAGTTTCGCGGCTTAAGGATATGAAACTGATGAGGTCGTGACACGATTTCGTCAATTCACGATCCTTCTTTCCCCCTACTCCGTTCGCCTCATCGAAAATACCTTGTACGAAATAAGAACGGGATGAGGCGCTCGAGCGATCATTGATAGAAACGTAGGCTTCGACTGATGGAAATAAAGATTGCCTATTCTTTTACGACGCGCATGTTTGAAATGTAGAAGGCTGCATGAGAAACCTTAAAACTGCACAACATAAGACTCGTCTGTAATACGCGGGGTGAGAAGTAAGAGTAAATGTAAAAGAAACACTTTTCGTATAAAGGAGCTAAGGTATGAGCGAAAATAAAAAATTATATTTATTCCTTCCTCATACTTCAGCCCTTACGCTTACGTTTAGGATTTCTCTTACAGCTATACTTTTACTTGTTACTCCGCGTATTGTGGACAGAGCTTTACCACAAGTTTTAATAAGTTAATATTACACGAATATGAAACACAAAATATATAACATTTAAAATAAGCAAAAGGATTTTGTTAAGATTCGCTCTATTATATACTATATTATATATAAAATTGCCAATCATCACGTATATGCACAATATTATTTTATGAAACTTAAAAATATCATGTGCATAAAAATTTACAACACGAGGAAAATGCAATTTGTTATTTTGTCATTATCTGAGAAAAAGTTGTGACGTTCTCGACGGAAAAGAAGCAAATGTTGCGAATGAGAAATTTTATCAATATCTGATTTTCATGCTAACTCGGAAAAACTTTTTGCAGAGTAAGATTCAATTATGATATTATCAAGTACATTTGAATGTTTCCAAAATAATAGAATAGTATGTATGGAAAGGGAATAGCACGGCTGCAGAAGGGAAATGGCGCATTAGACAAGAAAGAAAGTAGATGAAAAGAAGATAGGCAAGAGGGGACGCAGGAAAAAGATACGAACAAAATGCGAAAAGCAAGGAGACCAGTTTAGACTTGTTGAAATGCATCGAGCATTCGGGCAAAAGTACGGTGTTTACGGACAGAATACGTCCAGCAGGCATTACAAACCAGCAATTGTTAAGTAAATACTGTACGAGTGAATCGCATGTTAATTATCAAAATTGGACTGCCGGCCAGTAGCTTTTATCAATCCCGGGAATTTACTTTGCGAGATAAAAGAAATTACCACTGGGAATTTTACACGATCCGCTATACTTGCTTTAAGATTAAAGAGAACAGAATCTAGAAACTTGTTAAACGATTGAACTATGTGACTTGTTTAAAAAGTATTAAATCACAATTAAGAAAATTACTTTGCAGAAATGGAATGAAAATGGAACCGTAATCAATGCGATAATATTTTAAAAAGTCGTTTTTTTTATTATCAGATGAATCGGTATCTAACTTTTACGAATTGTGACTGCATTACTGATTCAGATTGAGACCGCTTTTAAATGGTAAAAACATAATATATCCTATTAACATAATTAATCGAGATACCTTGAGAATCCAAATGATTTAAGAAAGTAAGCGCTTATCCGCCCGTGTAATTGTAACAGATATCACTTATACAAGCAACGTGGAATCAAGATTTCGAAATTGATAGAACGAACAACAAGCCTGCAATCTTTCTGCGGATTACGTCCCTAGCGCGCAATTTGAAACATCGACACACCCCATCCTTCCATTCGCGCGTCTATCACGCCCGACCTAGTCGACGGCAATAAATCTGAACTTACGGTGTATCCTTGGATGCAAATTTCCCTACAGCTATAGAAATTTCGTAACACAATATCACCATTTCCTTTCTCGCGCTACGTTTTCCGTGACATATGCATATATAATATATCCCTGTACAAGAATGTAAATTATATCTTACAATGAATTTACTCGATATTTATTATTTACCACTTAGTGCTACTGATGTGGAGGAATAAACGGCGCAACATTACACAGCAATGCAATTTCGAAATTGATAGACGCGAGGGAGACAACTTATGCGGGATTCGTCATATCGGATACACGTCCAGCGTACAATTTGAATCATCGTGCCCTGCCCGCCAATCCGCCCACGCAAAACCTTTTCTATCCACACGTCCATCGTGTTCGACTGGCTCGATGGCAATAAATCCAGACTTACTCTTTATCCTATCGAGGCTTTGCCCGCCAGGGTGCGAGCCTCTGGCATTGTCGCGGCTATATCACCGGCCAAAACGGACGAGAGGAACGGCGTGTCGTGCGACAAGACTCGACGGAACCTGAATTAAATTCTGAGATTTATCGCGTCAATAACCGTGCATTAATTTATGATTTTTTGCGGTGAGGAACGTAAATCCACCGGGCACGCCGTCGCGCCAATTGTTTCGCTCTACGCGGCGGCCCAGCCAGAGAAATGGGCATAAAGAGGAACGGAAAAGGGGAAGAGAATAAACGCGCTATACGGAAACACACAGCAGCTCAACCTACCTACATCGATAGAAAAGCAGCCCGGGGTGTGTACGTGGCGCAAACCATGTGAAGGGTGGGTAATGGCGTATGCGGGCGACTAGCGACGTATTCTACATCTAACTTATATTGACCACTCAACATTCCGTGCTCGTAAACTACGGCGTTCGCCGACCGTTCGGTGCAAAAACAATCGGAAACAGTATATCGTGGTTCCGAAAGGCCTTTGATGTCGCGCGCATATCATCACGAGGGCAAGTATCATCAATTAAAATTATCTGCGCCCATATTTGTTACTCGCAGCACGAGCCAGCTAAAAGATTACTTTTGAAAGCGGGACGTCGGGCTTACGATTCGTCTCCCTCGGAATTCACCTTCAATCCTTTAATTCATCTCGTGATTTTCCTCTTCGCGACAACAAAACATCGGCGGATTTGAAATTGCTAGTTGCAGAAATTATTTAATTACTGCTACTAGCGATGTTTCGCATCAGTCATTATAGATTAATTTATTCTATATCGTTACTCATTAGGGAGGGTGTACACATGGTACAAATTTTTTCTCACTCTTTTCGCTTCCGCCCAGATACGTCCTTTGATCGATTAATCGTTTTAATTACGGGCGAAACCGCGGCAGGTGTGCATTCAAATTGATGCACAGAGTGGAAGTACCGACCGGCTACAGCCTGAAACGCGCGTAATTCCGCCTGCCTCCTCTTTTATTCCCTTTTACGTTCTTTCCTTTTGACAAACCTTCTTTGAAGCCTTCTCTTCCCAAACGAGGTCGTCCTTTTGCTTTTTTTTCACCGCCTATTCTTCGCTTTCCATCCGCGTGTATCACAGCGAACATCGTTTTTGCAAGACTTTTCAAACATAACACATTAAATTGTGGTTCCACGCATTATACATTTAATGACTTATCTTCGTGAAGCTAACCACGCTTTCAATTTGATTGGCAAACCCAGTCAAACTTTCAATTTGAGTGGCAAAGGAATGTTTATTGAAATCGGATAGCTATAGAAATAGGAAGCTTTTTAATGCGATATTACCTGCAAGTTTCATCCAGGTTATCGACTTTCTAATTTGTCTACGAGAAAGAGTTAGGTTTTGCTATATTTGTAAAATGTACCCAGCATCAACGTCTGCATTATTGTATGTATCATTCAACTATCCATTTTCTAATTACTTGCTGCTCCTCTGCACTTAATCCATCACAAACGAGAAGATAAAGGAAGAGGATCAGTACTGTCATCTTCACGCCGGCAATTTTTTTCTACGGGCAATTAATTCCGTAGTACGCGAAAAGTATCATATATCAAAGTTCCGCCGTTCCGTCTACATCAATCACCGTGCATAGTTGATAATGGGTACCGCGCGACGTAGTCTTTTGAAAATTTCCAATTGCGGTCGAAAAAAGTCCAGATAGCCGCCGGATAGCGGAAGTGAAAGGAGGGATCGGTATATATGCGGTGCGGAATTTTATTCGCGGCGCATGCCACTCCGCTCTATCGGTCGAAAGGATATTTCCTCGCCTTAAGCTCTCGCCGAAACGACTGCAGCCTCCAGGGCCACGTCGGGCGTTCCAGTATTCCTAATTTTGTCCGCCGGGCGCTACTGGAATCTTAATTATGAGGAAGAATTCGTCGAGGGTGGTCCGGCAACCCGGTCCCAATTCGCCCGACAATGTCGCCAGTACTTTTCCAGAGGATATGAGCGTTTCAAAATTCAATTGCGCGTGAAACAAATTGAAGTCTTTTACTACGAGTACCGTAATATTGCAATAATGAAGACAATAGACGGGGATGAATTCTCAAGAAAATAGCAGATATTGTTACATTCATATGTGCATTATTTCGACGTTCGTAACGAAAAGAAACGTGAATAATAAATGCAAAAAAGATCAAGATATCGTTTAAAATTTATAAATTATTTGAGTTGTTTAAATCTTGGTATCAGATACGTTAAAGAATTTGTCGGTAATGTTAGATACGAATTAAACTGAAAGAGTTCTTAATTGATAAATTCTTGATATAATAAGAAAGGCATGCTAGATTTAACCACTTAATTTTATCTATTTATAAGATTTCTTGAATCTTAATTTTATATACTCCATTTATATCTGTAGCTTATCTTACCGAATATAATATTTATGTTACAGAGATTGCAGAGTCGTCAGAGATCCCCAAACCTTAAAGTCCAAAGGATATGGATTTGTTTCGTTCGTCAAAAAGGCGGTAAGCAAACGATACTATTAATTCCAATTGCTTTCTTTAAAAAGTAGAAAATTTAGCATACATCGTAGCTGAGATAATAAATTGATTTCATTACATGAGCCTCAGCTACAATATTAAAATTTTGCGCAAGACACTATTACATTAAAATATACACATCTGTATGTCAAAAGTAGATTAATATACAATATATAATTTTACTAGTTAATAAATCAGTTTTACTTTTAAGAAATGCAAAGTTCTGATTTTTTCAGGACATGTAGCTCTTAAACAAAAAATTGCATCATTCTGTTACGGCATGGAAAACATTTCTTTTTAGTAGAAATTTCTTTCTATTCAAAAAGTTTAATAAGATGAGTCCGAGTATGTATCAATCGATATATCTTAACTACCAAAAATGCACTTATTCCGAATTAACTTCAGAGAATCTTGCGGACCTTACAAGAAAACTTTATACATCACGCTTTCTTGTAACGTTCTCTCTTACCAGAATGTGGCCACTTTCGAGAAAGTCCAAAAAGCAGTCGTTCCAACGAAAGCTAAGGCATGCAAAGCACATCAATTAAAACGGCAACGTTTGTAACTCCATTCCCAAGAGATTAGAATAAAAATGAAATAGCAAATTATCTGAGCGCTTGTGTGAGCAAGGAAGATAAAAGTGCTCGATGCATTTTATGTAAATCAGAATTGCCGGTAACATAACGGCAAAGTAGATAATTCCCTGTCGAGCAGCATTTTAATCATCGCATTTAAACTCCGACTGTCCCCAAAGTCGGAAGAAACGCGAGTTATTCCTCGGCGATAACAACTGCGAAATCGCATCCGTCATTTTCGCAGTATGTCAAACTTGACGCCGTCCTCCCGGCTCTCGCTGATCAAATAAGGAGGAGGGTCCGACCGTCACGGTTTACAACATCATTTTTCGGGGCTAAATGGAGAGTGGCCGGAGTTTTAGTGTGACCCGCCAAAATCCGCGACGTAAATCACGGCGAAGTTAGATGTACGGCTGAGTAAAAGAAGGCTTTCCTCCGTTTATGGCGGGGTTATTCGTCGAGGCGCCTGCCCCGAAGGTAGACCCTCTCTCCGTTTCCCCTCTGTTTTAATGTCCTATCGATCTGGACCACCGCCGGCACCTGCCTCACACCCACGGTATTACTATTGCCCAAGTATAAATTTCCCGAGTGTCTCCGTTAACCTCGAGGAACACGCGAAAATTTCCCCTCTTCCCTTCTCGCCACTATCCCCGTCCACCGACCAGTCCCACTATATCCTTCGACCGTCGGATACACGTATCTAAATCGCGAGCTCTGATCGCCCAGCATCTAACATCCTGGCTCTTTTAAGATGTACGACGAATTAGGGATTCTCCTTTTTTTCTTCTTCTTAGACTGACCCGAGAACTCTCAAGTGCTGCATTTAATGAATACCGAGCTTCACGAAATGTCCTGCTGCGTGCTCCTATATGTTTCGCGGCATTTATCGCAGGTGCGACGATGCGTTATCACTGGCATCAGTTCTCTTTACACGCGCTGGAAATTGATTTGTGAGGGGAATGTTCGTCTTTTTCAACGAAATAGTAACAAATCGTGATTTGTTATTCCGAAAAGAAATATGTGTTAGTAAACCGTTTCCAAGAGCAAATATAGTGCAATGTCGATGTCTGTTCAATGCGTAGATGGATCCGTCATGTAGTCCAAGCTCTGTCCCTGTTACCAGTTGATAGCCAGTGTATACTTGCATATACTACGTAAGTGCTCGGGTCGCTCTAGTTACTGTCAACTTTTGTTGCTTTACCATTTGATCGATAAATCGTGCGATATTATGACTCACGACCTTAAATACACAAAAGCGCGCTTCCATTCGCATAGATTTATATTCTCCCAGGTAGATAAACGAAAGCAATTAGAACGTCATTTATGGCGCATTGGGGAAGCGGTGCCTTCGTATACGTTAACGTTATTTTATTTACGGCTGCAGTCAAAATATGGATGCATAACGGCCACGTTGACACGTGGCATTGAATGTACGCACAGCCATGTAAATAAATAGTCTTTATTTTCCGACGCGATAGGAATATCGTATGTAGCGAGTCGCAGAATTTTTAAAACAACAGGTCATGTTTTTATTTAGTCATGGAGTCATACAGTTTTTATTAAAAATGGAACCGTTACTTAAGTTTTCTCGGCTGTACGCACAAATTAAGTAAATAATTTGAAACGTTGCGAAGAAATACGGCCTCGAGGTTTGCTCTATTATTCCGACGAGTAAAGTTTAAACGTATTACATGTGTGTCGTTTATACAGACTTGTATCATTTACACTGCATTAAAGTTTCAACAAACATTACTAACAAACCGTGTCGCCATTTGATTTAATAATTTTTTAATAAATACAAAGTTATAATTGTTAGCAGTATGTATATGTGAAACATATGTAGTATCTTTTAAGAGTATTACTGCTAGTTAAGAACACCTAGTTTTTGATGTATATACATACACATATATAATATTTTGTTAACAATACTTACAGCTTTCGTTAAGAGCGTGTCGTAGGGTTGGATGAGGAAACTTGAAAAACAATAAAAATTCCATGTAAATAATGTAAAATTGAAAAGAGACAAGCGCTTAAAGAGGCAAAGTCGATTACAATCGAGCTTTGTTGTACAGTTTGTTTGGTGCAGAAGGAAGTTTCGTTAAGGCCACGTAATCCGACAGCGCATTACTCCGTGCCGGCGCATGACTTAATAATGCGTGTAAAACAGTTGGGTGTCGGTAAGCGGCGCTCCCGTCTGTCTATAGCATCGCTGACCGCGGAAGAAATTCGATTTGATGGGTGCTTGGACAGCTCAAACTGCCGGCCGTGGAAAATGCAGGGAGAGAGAGAGAGGAGAGAGACAGAGGGAGAGGGAGCGAGAGAGACGGGTGGCGGCTGGCTTCTGGTGGTGGTACTTCTGGTACCACGTAAACGCCCTGGTCACGCCGGACGGAAGGAGGCAAGCGGCGGTGGTTTTCAGGGGTTGCGGGTCGAAGAGGCGTCGGGATATCGACCGAAGTTTAGAATCGGCTTAGGAACGGGGCATTCGGTCGCCTGAGCTCTATCTAGGCTAACCGCGCGAATGTGCGGCATCATATCGGGAATGGAGATTCGAATCGGAAATACTTTATCTAGCAGGGGGAGGGTATGCGTCGGGGAATAAGGAGCGTGCGGAAAAGCGCAGAGAGCCACTGGGCTGAAACGTAGTCCGCGCTGAAGAAAGTAACGGCTAGAGATGAGGCAAAGGCAAAGCCGAGGACGCCCCGAATGGCGCAAATGGCTGAAAGTAGAGAGCGGCAGAGGGTAGACTGCTGCTGTAGAAACTGGAAAGAGGGAAAGACTGTGGAGGACTAGAGAGAGAGAGAGAGAGAGTGGTAGCTTCCCTTCGCCTCTCATACCCAAAGAGCTTTCCGAACAGTAAACTTTTTCGGGGAATTCCTCGTGTCGAGAATATTTTTAGGTCTCCATCCTCTCAGCCATCCCGTGGATCTACCGTCCGAATACCGCTGTCGCGATGTCGCGATGTCGCGCGAGGGTATATCTTTATGCGTGTAACATACACGATGCAAGCGATGACGTGTGCCATATCATATCTATTTCATACGTTGCGAATATCGCAGCGATGCGATTTCTTCGCCTTCTCCGCCAATTTCGTGATTAATAGACTTTTCTCTCCACACGAATCGCAAAATGAACAAGTAAGAAGACGGATTGGATTAACGCCACCGTGAAAATCGTTTCGCTCGAACGTTCACGGATCACGCAAATAGCTCGCATCGCGCAGAAATATGTGTACGCCGGGCGGTGCTTTCTCCTCTCTGCCAAAGGTGTTTCCCAACCCTTCCTCGAGAATCCAATGTCGCAATGGAAAATGTCCCGGATCGCCCGAAGCGGTTCACGAAAATCCGGGGAATCAAGAGTGCAGTCGATCGAATAAAATTTCAAAACGTATATTAAGTTGACCTGGATCGCGGGCCACGCCGCGCCGGCGGGATACCGCGGCTGAATCAACAATAAGTCGCGGATAATATTGACGTCAACATACCTGTTGGTTTTATCCGCGGTTTTGCGTGTGAATGCGACGGCATCCTCCCGCGTCTCGCGCGGATACCGTCGCGGTTCTTACGACGCCCCGCAATTGTTGTTATAGACGTTGCGAGAGACAATAAAGGAGCTTTCGCAGCGGCACTGCGCGACGACGCGTATTTTCATTCGCCTCTCGGTAAAATCCCTTAGAAGCATTCTGTAATACGTAAATACACACGTACGCATTCTTGTCTTTTCTATTAATTTATTATTATTCATAATGTTTCATGAAATTCGCGTTAATTACTTGACAAATTTGACAAAAGTATTGGTTATCTTTGTCCTTGCGCTTTGTATCATATATATGGTATATATGTGTGTGTGTATGTTTCAGCGCGTGTTTCAGAGGTATAGCATTGTAATGCAAGAATTTTGCAAATTTAACTGTAATCGTATCCATTCATACGCATTCGATAAAATGCATTATAAAATAAAATGACCGTTTGCTGTATATGCAAAAATATTTTGTATTTCCATCTGAATGCTTTTTGTAAAATCAACGACTGCTTTGATCATAAAAAGTGAATTAATAAATGACGCAATGGCATAAAGACCGAATAGAATTCGAAGCACTACTAAGGTATTGTAAAAAAAGTATTTTGTTACCGAATCGAAAAGCAACATGGTCATTTTTAAAAAATATATATAATAATGTAGAATGTAAGAAATATCAACGAAGCGATTATTAAGCAAATATGTGCAAAATTCAAGAAAATTACTATTGAAACTTATGCAATATCTCCTACGTTCAGTAATTAACAAAAGTTGTTTCTCTTCTGCTTTCAGTATATGAATTTCACTATTAAAATTTGCGATAGGAGGTATTGATTTTTCCTGTTGTCTTTTCTCAGGAAGCAGAGAGTGCCATCGGCAACATGAACGGCCAATGGCTTGGTGGTAGAAGTATTCGGACAAATTGGGCCACCCGTAAACCTCCCGCACCTAAATCCGAAGGTAAGTACTTTCACATACTACGACCAAGAGTTGTTGCATACGAGAGTGTAGCATAGAGCATGATTACTATCGTGATAAATGGTTTTCTAGACATAGCAGGTGAAAGTGTTTAATTGTCGCTGCAACCGAATGCAGGTATAATTCAATGTTTATAATGTGTTACGTAATCTCTCATCTAAACAGAGTAAGTTTTCAATTAGGTACTTTTACCGTTATTTTCTAAAATTTCACCAAATATCGTATGTAAATATGCAATACAGAGTTTGTATGTACAAAAGCGAATACGGCCAACGATCGGAACGTAAAAATAGGATTATGAGAATTTGACATGCTTATCTGACAAAAGAAACCATGTTAAGTACAAGTGTTCGATGGCAAAAGCTGAAAGCAATTTTGACGAGTCAAAGTCAGCCCGGTGAATAGAATATCGGTTCAATTTTGGAAAAGAAAATCAAAGGGTCGATACATATTTCCAAGTGCTCCGTCAAAGCGTTATATTTACGTCCACAGCATGCCTCGTCATGAATACCAAATCGGCGCTGCTAAATTAAATATCGCGCTCGTCGGTCGCGAATGCGGAAATTTCGCCGACGCAACCGGAATTCGATTAGGTCGGCGAAATTCTACCGCGCACAAATGGATGCGCACGGTCGCGTTATTCTGTGGAGTTCGAAAGGTCCGCCTCTTGTGCAACACTCGGTGAGTCGTTCGCACAGAAAGCTTTCACTGTGCCATTCAGGAAAGCTCGAAACGGCTTTACCACGAACGGTTACTCTGCAAAGCGGGCTCTACAAAGGCAGCACTAGCTGTTCGAGTGTTTGTTAATCGATACCTTGAGATGGACTCAAGAGCCTTTTTTCAATGGACCGAGGTGGAGGAAGGAAGAAGTTCTACTCGCGTCGTACTATCATGTTCCCAGAGTACTGAGATTGATTTCAAAGCCTGGCGAGCGACAGTATGGACCTTGTGAAAATTTCCCGTAGCAATGGGGGTCACAAATATTTTCTTTTCTCTCTTTTCTCTCTTCTAAAATGCGTTTACTGGCGGTAAGTCGTAAATCGCATTTCAAAATGCACCGAATTGAAATGATCAAATACGATCCTAACAAAAGGAAATTATAGCCATGAGAAATGTTGACGAATAAAATGAACATGTATGCGATATGATGATAGGAACGTTTAAATTTTCGCAAATTTATGATACTGTATTTCTACTGTAGGGAAATTATAATAAGTACAATAAATTTTAATCAAATATCTCGAACAAAATATTTGAATTGCAAAAGGGATAAACTATCTTTGCTTATGCAGCATCATCGCGGCCATGAATGAGTTGAAACGTTCTCTTTCGCGATAGTAATTACTTGTATAATTAGGATGGTTTGAGACAACGGTTGGATGAAAGCCCCGGCTCGGTAGGGATAGTAAGAATCCAATTGAAGTTATGAACTAAACGCATAATGAGCTTGGAGGTAGCACTCCGAGGCCCCAAGTAAGTATTATTATATTATCATAAGCGGCTCTTCGTCGCCGAGTCGAGGACTCCATCGTCCATCCTCGAGAGTCACCCCCGACCCCTCGGCTAACTAATTTCATTCCGCAAGTCTTTAATTAGTATTCGTCGCGGGGCGTCCAAACTTTTTCACTAGGCGAGGGCTTGCAAACTCGACCTACCCGGATTGTTCACCCGTATTTGCATAGGCCAAATTCGCAGAAAGTACTTTCTTGCCGGCCACCTTTACGTGGTTAATATTCCTCGACGAACGTACCTTAAATTTCTCATAAGAGAAAATAATAGTTTCGTAGAGAAGTTTACCTCGTTCGCTTTCTCTTGCGCTGTAAACATTCAGCTCTCGTGACAGTTCTCAAGGCACGGATATACGTTTTCGCGATTAAAAACGCAACCGTGTGGATTGCATTGATTTATAACTTTTACTTCCAACTTTATTGTTACAAGTAAAAGTAATTTATTTCTGACCGAATCTATATGTAGGTTTTCGCGGTAAAATCCTACATCGCGCTCGGTTTCAACATCTTATTCGTAGTATCTCATATTTTCTATGAGTAGCCGTACCGATATAATTTAAAAATTCACATCTTGTTTCTTCTAATTAAATTATTATAGAATATTAAAGAATGCTGGTTATCTTGTTACGGATAATTTAAATTCTACTTCCGACTCTTTGAAACAATAAAACTATATCTTTATTTCATAGAAAATTTGTTCGTATTTTATCAAATATTCCCATATATAAGAACTACGTGAACGCAAGTAGATATTAAAAATATCTAATACAATCTACTTATAATCATAATTATGGTTAAATTATTTAAAGTAATATTCAATTTCAAGTGATTATCAATTTAATTAACAGGAAAATTTAGATCTTCTCTAAATACATTAAATTGTTTTCTATTCTGGTTCCGCTAAATCATAAAATATTTGAGAAACTGTCGATAATATTTTAGTCAAAGAATAAATAGATTAAATAGATTTCGTTCTAATAGTTTATTTTTTAATTAAAAAAATAAAATATTAAAACAAAATCTATTTAAGACTTCTTATGTGTCCAACATTGAGCAGATACATTAAAACATTTTCAGTCAATAGAATTTGTAACTTTTAAGTCAATAGTTAATCCAATAAAAATGAATAACAGTTAATTTTATTCTTAAATGCTACTTTCAAGTACGTTATTCACATTGAAAAATACAAAGTCTTATTGGCAATCTTACGAAACTTTAACGAAACTCTCAAACTTGAGTGGACAACTTGGCACGATTCAAGCAAATTCTTACATTGTATCGATGGCCAATTGTGTGCAACTAAGAAATACATGTGCGATATTGCACACTTCAAAGTTACCATTTCGCATAATATCGCATTACTGCTTTTTAGCATCAGTAGCTTCTTCCACACAATTGCTTTACGTCTAAAGTTTGTAATACAAAATAACTTAACATATAATCAATTTTACAATAGATCTTTATGATAGAAAATTTTTAAATTAATGTTAGATAAGTTCAGAATTATATTTTAAAGTATGTAACAATTAGATTTTCCATTTGCAAATAAATTATAATAGACACATTGTTAACATTTTTTAATATTTCAAATCTAGGTATGTAACATTTCCTAAGAAACGAGAATTCTTTTTTCTTCATTTTAAATTACATTTTCCTTCATATATCAAAGATCCTCATAACAATCCAGTAAGAAGGAGATTAAACCTTTAATAACGAGATAAAATAAGGTTTAATTAAAGGGCCCTATTACACATTTTTTCGTACGTTATGTTTTTACGGCGCATATCAAGCGATGTGTATCGATTCTATTTATCACATTATCAGAATATGGAGCAGGCAATGCGTGAATTCGCCCACCTGTGATAAAATATGATATCAAAATATGATAGCAAAAGCTTAGACGGGTAAATAAGTTCAAGCGGGACGATAAAAGAAAAACAACGCGCCGTAGAAAAATATCGAGAAGCGCGGAGCCCAGATTACAACGCAGACGCGCCCACGAAATGCATTCAAAGAAAACAGGAGAAGTCCCGAGTGCAAGTTTATTGGCTAGCGTTTTACTCGACTGAATTACACGCGCGTGGTGGAGTTTATATGATACCCCGGACTTTTCTGCTCTTCATTTCGGTATCTTACCAACAATGTTTCGGACGGTTGCGCCAACTCTCATGCAAATACAAAACGCGGTGCACCATAACCACCGTGCCGCCGGGCTAATCTGCATATTTCAACAAAATAAGAAAACGTTATACAGCGACTGTATTGGAACTTGAGTTATACTTCAACAGAAATCGACAAGGCAGCCATCACGCAAACAAACAAACGGAATTGAGATAATTTGTTTGCGTTTAGTCGCGTGTAAATACAGGGTGTACTAAAACCACCGGATATCCTTTTAATCGCAGATTCCTTAGGAAATTTCAAGAGGAAAATTCTAATAAAAAAATGTCGAGGCTATGATAGTTTTTAAATAATAAGCGATTACATTTTACAAATGATAGGTCTGAGATTTCGCGCGCTCAGGCACGGCGACATGACGAGTGATAAAAGTGTTCCTATGTGTTTCGCGAGCGAGTGAGAACCAAAGTCACCGTTTAACGGGACAGAAAATATTTGGGAAGACGATGATCCGGTTATTTTGAAAACTTGAGGATAAAGAGAGGCAGGAGACTAGATTGAATCTAACTGAAAATTCCAAGTTCACTCAGAATATCGGAGATCGACTAAATCGAAGGATATCAGTCTGATCAAGATACTCATCATAGTGAACTCCTCCCTTTTATTAATAAGACGTTACACAAAGTTAACAAAAGAATTGGTTAAAGATAACAAGAGGAACAATTAATTCGAGAATGAATCGTTAAGTCTGTTGTGAAAATTGTCACTATGCTAAAAAGGGCGATATTCGTAGGAACACCTTTATCACTCGTCGTGTCGCCGTACCTGAGCGCGCGAAATCTCAGGCCTGTCATTTGTGAAATGTAATCGCTTATTATTTAAAAACTCTTATAGCCTCGACATTTTTGTATTAGAATTTTTGTCTTGAAAGTTTCTAGAGAATTTATGATTAAAAGGATATCCGGTGGTTTTAGTACACCCTGTATGGATAGGATATGCCACTAGAAGAAACGCTCCAATTTCAATTGTTTATTTTGCAAATAAGAAACATAATTTTAATAAAAGAATAGAGTATAAGCAAAATATTGCGCGTATATGTATGTATCCTATATATATATAATACAACCAAGACTTTATATACATGTTTATTATATGTATTAGAGAATTTATATTATATATTCATATATACATATATAATATAAATTCTGTAATCATATATATAAATTCTTGGTTATAATATTATAGAAAAAAAGGAAGTTAGGGAATAGTTGGATCGTGCCAGCATTTAATTTGACTGAGTCCCAAAGTTATCCGGCAACTAGGCCAATATTTTATAGCCATGGCAATTAGATAATT